CATGACTAATCAGGGTTTATTTCATCAATAAATTTGAAAAACAAAAACCAAGAAGATGAACTATAAAATAAAATGCAATTTCTCATAGAAACTCTTAATAAACTATGACTAGAATTTTTAATCATAAAGATTATCTTAAATCAATGGTCAATATAATACTTAATAGTGAAATATTAAAAGCAATTCCATAATTTAAAAACTACACAAAATGCTTGTTATCACCTGCATTATTTAGTATTATATTGACATTCTAGGCAGTGTAATAAGAGAATGGGTGAGCTGAGACCAGTGTGGCTCAATGGATAGAGCGTCGGCTTGGGGACTGAAGGATCCCGGGTTCTATTCCGGTCAAGGGCATGTACCTTGGTTGTAGGCATATCCCCAGTAGGGGGTGTGCAAGAGGCAGCTGATCGATGACTCTCTCATCGATGTTTCTAACTCTCTATCTCTCCCCTTCCTCTCTGTACAAAATCAATAAAATACATTTTAAAAAATAAAAAAATAAGAGAATGGGTGAAAAAAAAGGGAACATATAAGATAAAACATGTCAGCTGAAATATTAGTAGGGCTAATGAGTTTTATTTAAAGAAAATTATAAAGTGAACCAGCAAAATTCACTAAAATCCCTAAATACAATAACAAAAAGAAAACAGAATGAAGACTATGTCACTCACAAACAAGCAAAAAAATTAACTTTTATAAAGAAAATATCAGCAGAAATGTACAGAAACTGTATTTTTTTAAAAATTGTTGAGGGGCATAAAAGAGTTAAGTAAACGATTCTGAATGGAAAGATTCAATACCATAAAGGTGTCAGCTTTCCTCATAATTTTATTTAAATGCAATCTTTTAAGATATCACTTTGGGCCAAAACCAGTTTGGCTCAGTGGATAGAGCGTCGGCCTGTGGACTGAAAGGTCCAGGGTTCGATTCCGGTCAAGGGCATGTACCTTGGTTGCAAGCAGGTCCCCAGTAGGGGGTGTGCAAGAGGCAGCTGATCAATGATTCTCTCATTGATGTTTCTAACTCTCTCTCCCTTTCTCATCTTCTCTGTAAAAAATCAATAAAATATATATTTTTTAAAAAGATATCACTTTGGAATTTCAATGAACAATTTATAATTATACATCTAAAATAAATTTTAGAGAAGTATGCAAACACCTTAAAGAGCAATTTTGACTGTGATCTTGTAATACTGCCCACACTATAAGACACTATAAAGCTACAGTGATTAATACAGCAGAATACTAACAAAAGTTTAAATAGAAAGATCAATGGGAATAGAACAAAAGAACTGAGAAATGGTTTCAAATATGCAATCAGTATGCAGTAAAAGATATTATTTCAAGTCAGAAGTAATGAGTTATTTAAATAAATGATACAGAAATATTTGGTTTACTGACTGAGAAAGAAGATTAAGTTGTATCTCTCTATGAAATTATACATCAAAATACATTCCAGAGGAATTTAAGAGTTAACTGTATAGTAATACAAAAAACTGAGAGAAAATATAATATACAAAATATTTTATCTAATCTCAAAGTGGGTGAAGCTATTCTAAACAAACCCCCAACAATAACAAAAAAATTTTTAAGAGAGAGGGAAAAATTTGACAACAAAAGTAAAGAAAATAACAAAATATAACATTTATTACAGATAAACTAACACCATTAAAATATATAGGATGGGAATAAGTAAGTTTACAGTTGTGGGCACACAAACTGTTTATTCTTATATTGTTGTATATCAATCATTGTATTGTTTTCCATATAAACTACTGTAAATCTAATTTTCCCCTTCCCTGTACATTAAGAGTTACAAAACCACAATAACTAGACAAATCCTTTAAAGAAAAATAGACACACAACATAAATAGGCAATTCACAAATGTAGATATTTAATATAAATAAATGTATGTAAAACTCTTCAGTCTCAATGATAAAGCAATTCAAAATAATTCAGCACTAATATGTTCTTTTCTTCCATCAAACTGGCAAGAACGTTTTAGTTAATAAAACTGTTATTGAGGGTAAGTGAAAAGACCTTGCAGATACTGCTAGTGAGAGCACAGAATACTATAGCTTTTCTGAAGGGCAGTGTGGCAATCAACATGTAGCAAAGCCATTTAAAGAAAGAACAACCCTTTGGCCAAGAATTTCACTGTTTAGTAATATATTCATTCCCAGAAAACAGCTACTAGTTAGTACTGAAAAATATTAAAAAGTTATCCGAGTTCACCCTAACTGGTTTGGCTCAGTGGATAGAGTGGATAGAGTATCGGCTAGAGGATGGAAGGGTTCCAGGTTCAATTAGGGTCAAGGACATGTACCTTGGTTTGTGGGCACATCCCCAGTAGGGGGTGTGCAGGAAGCAACTGATTATTTCTAAAGCTCTATCCCTCTCCCTTCCTCTCTGTAAAAAAAAAAATCAATAAAAAAATATACATATATTTTAAGTTATAAAGTTCAAGGTTTTTTTTATATGATAAAAACAACTGAAATATTGAATAAAAGACTCAGTTAAATTCTGAGAACCCCATTTCATTCAATTTTTTTTGCAAAAAAATGACCTAATCACAGGGAAATTCACAATCTATCTTTAGGTGGGAAAGACAGACTACAAAAAAAATAGTAAAAAGATTATTCTGATTTTTAAAAAAAAAAATTAACATGAATATACGTAAATTAAAATAGAAAGGATATACAATATGATACAGTAGAATTAAGACACAATTTTAATTTCTTTTCGGTTTCTATATTTTTTACAATAAGTATGTATAAATTTTATAATGAGAGAAAAATAGTGAGTTAGTAAAAATGCACAATGATTGAGATATATAAGTACTGATAACCCACAATAGCATGTGTTCCTTGGAGATAGTATTCAGATCACTTTGACACTGCAGAATAATTATAGCTAATTTAGGTGGATAATAACTAACCTGATCTCACCTAGACTAAAACTGTACATTGAGTTGTAGCAGTGATTAGGATTACTCGATGAACACTACTTTAATTTTTTCATTTTTATTATACATTGTTATATTTTCTGTATAATTTTATGGTGACAAAATATAAGGATGTAAGAAGAGACCATTAAGTAGACTAAATCAAAATGAAAAATTTAATAAGAATCTTATTTTCTATGCCCATAAAACTAAGAGTAGCACACAAATGACAGTTCACTTGCCTCCTATAGAATCCAGAAAGAAAAATGTTCAAGAATTTGAGAAGCCTACTTTTTCAAACGTGTTCCACTTTCAAGATTTATGTATTTGGAACATCTGAGACTAGTATAATTATTATATATTTTAAATTCATAATTAGAATTAAAAATAAAGTAAGATGGGAAGTGGGAGCAGGGGAGAGAAGATAACCCGATGTGTATAAACACGATGCTTAATCATAACATAATAAAATGTTAGCTTCCATATGACTGAGAGAAAGCAAGACCCCCATCATTCATGCTGGCAAATGCTTGACTTTGCATAAACCATTTCAGTTCTCACTGTTATAAAACCAATGACTTTGGGAAGGGAAGAAAACACAGAATGGCGTGCAAAGTAGCACACACCGTGCTATTGCAGCTGGATAAAAAATATGGCACTAATGACTCTCTTTCTACCCCTCAGTTATTCGGTGAGGGTTTGTTTCCAAAATAGCAAGTGGCCTTCATAAGTAAAAAACAGAAGCAGTGAAATTCAAAATACTACTTGGTTTATTAAATTTCTACTTGGTTTTGATACTGCATGAGATAATGGAATGAGTTGTTAATTATTCATTGGGAGATGACTTCCTTTTCTCTTCATTTGAGAACATAAGATGTCTGAACCCTAGGCAATTTTCTATACTAAATTCAAAATAAAATTTTCATCAGATAGCTATTGCCAAATATTCATCTTAAATGAGGTATTTATTATCCATGACCAATAGGAAGATTCACCTGGAAGCTGCTGGATAAATTCAGAAACCTAATCTAATAAACTTCCCAAATTGTTAGTGCAAATGACAGTGATGCCGGTCTGTAAGGAACAACTTACAGAATTAATTAATGACTTAGGATTCTACTCATGATAGCAAAAATTAATAATACAGTACTTCATCTCCTTAAAGAAATCAACCAGAGAGTTAGGTTAGTTCTGTGATGTATTGATTGGGATTGTCCACTTCTTAACATGTAATAACATCAATCACATAACTTTAACAATTAAGATATCCATCATCATTATCAGGGTAAGAGGTTATGAAATTTTAAATCCTGTGAAATCTGTTTTAAGATTAATAAACCCATCAACATATGGGCATGTTAATAATAACAATGACTAAAATTTCATGAGTCCTTTCTTAATTGCCAGGTGCAATGCTGAAAACTTTACATGTATTAATTCTCTTAAGGGGCCTGGGAGGTAGGTTCTGTTATTAGCCCCATTTTAGTTACCAGGAATTTGAAACAGAGAAGACAGTGACTTGTCCAAAGTCAACTATTTAGTAAATGGCAGGGCCAGGATTTGAACCAGTAAACAGACCTCAGAATCTACCCATAAACCATTATGTATAGCACATTCTATAAACTTTTTTTTATAGGTGCTACAGTTGACCCTTTTCAATAAAAAAATTCAAATTATTGATTTGGATTAATAAATAAAGCTATTATATTAGGACTTAAGAGGAAAGACTAAAATTGTATTTAATTTAATTTAATTTAATTTGTTCATCATCTTTGATATAACATTTTATGTTAATACTTTTTAATTAAGTAAATTAAAAACAATTTATCCTATCATATATATGTTATAGAATAATAAAAAGAGAGGCCAAAAATTTCATTCTGTAAACATTAAAAAGAATATAAGTTCAAGGCCATACTATACATTTACCTCTCATACATCAACAAATATTAGAAGTAAGAAATTAATGTTAGGGTACAGAAGATCAGCAAATGTATTGTTATAAAAAAATAACATCTCCACATGGGTTTATTTGATATTTTATATATTGTACCTTTAATTTCTCCAAGAAGTTCACTGGTATTTAGTCTTTCCATTTTTTCCTTCCAATCTTTTGATAGTAGTTTTTCCATGCAGGAGGAATCTGTTAAAATAAAAAAGGTAAGTATTCAAAATATTACATATATTTTTTATTTTATAAGTATTAAAAGATTATAAATCCAGAAAGCTAGTTTATGAAGAAACTCTATCACTTAAAAAAGATCAAAGCTATTTTTTGTTGTTGTTTTAACCTTAGGATATGAACAATTAAATTACTGTATTATAAAATAACACAACTAATTTTTTTACCAGATTTTTTAAACTATTCCCAAGGAAAAAATATAAGGCTCAATAAACTTGTATTGGTATTATAATTATAATTCTGACAATATTCAGTCAGCATTTAGCATTTCTTAGACTGATAGGACAGAGAATGGGGTCTTTCCTACAGTTTTAAATTTAAAGAATATTCTTCTCAATCCAGGTGATTATGTTTTAATTTCAAGCAAAATCCATGTGCTATTCAAGGAAGAATGACAATTTTTCAAGGGAGTAAAGATTCAACCTGTAACCACATATTCTTAAAAACAAAAAATATAGCAAATCTCATTATTAAAAAATCCATTTATAGCAAAATGTAAAGAAACGAAAGTCAAGATCATGAAAACTACTACTGCAGTTCTCTTATATAAAAGAGATGTATATTCTCTTCAAGAAAATACTTCTTTAAACATGTTGCCTGCTGCATTTCTGAGTCGCACACGAGATTACAGAGAATGATTACACTTGTTTCTATAAAGATTCATAAAGGTTACAGAAACTTAAACCAGGATACTCTTAATAATTAGCACATTTTCCTCAATGCATTCTTTTATCTCTGTATTCAGATGGATCTGCAACTGAAACTACTGCTTGCAACTATTTACATGTATCTTTTGAGCCTCAGATCTTAACAAATAGGACCTATTTCCAAAAGAGAATGCAGACTTAAATACTAAACCCTTGGTGTGAAGCATACTCCCATTAAACTTTAACATTCCAAGTGTCAAATTCTGATAACTTCTTTTTAAATTGTTATTCTGTATCCAAATGATTCTCCTCTCCCTATCAGTACCTTTCTCTTTATCATTTTTGCCTTTCTTTTTTTTTTTTTTTTTTTTTTTCTTCCAACTTCTGAATCCTCCTTGAATTTTTCAGAATGACTATAAGGTCAAGATGGATCTAAAGGGTTTTAGAAACTAGATAAGCTTTAGAAAAAGACAGCAAGCCCGGGGTTAGAGATGGGAAGACTGCTGCACGATTAGAAAGTATTGGCGAAAACAATTAACATTTGCCCATGACATGATCAATCAAGGAATGGATGGAATCCAGATCAGTGCATCCTGAAATGGCTGATAGAGAACAACCGAACTAGCTCGCTATCACGGAAGCTGAAGTTCTAAATAGGAGCCAGCTTGATTCTATTAAGAGTAAGCTCCCTACCCCTTCCTTTGCTTCTTCCCCTCTTCTCTTCCCTCCTTTACTCTTTCCATTCTTTCCTATTCAAGTTTTCTTAGGCTCCAATGATTGACCTACCACTGTGATTAAAAACTGGATTCTGAGTGACCTTCCAACAGGGTCTACATGCATACTCATATGTGCAGTCTCTATTTAATTTCCAAAATGACCTCTTGCTACATTTATTTTAAGTTCAGAAACAAAATGTGTACTTTGGTCTATACTCTTTTTTTGTATTTTTGCTGAAGTCATAAAAAAGATAACACTGAGTCTTGAAAATTATGAAGCCAATCTTCAAAGCCATGCCTATTACACTTTGCAAATAGGGTTTAAAATCTGCGATATATTGATATATCATCAAAACATGGGTAAGAATAGTCAACACAACATCTTCAACTGTCTTATCCTACCTAGTTTTGTTACTTTTTTATTGCCCTTTCATACATGTTATAACATCACACTAAACTGCTAATCACTGATACAAATGCTAAAACATAACTTGTTTGGTTAAAATTTGAGTTGAAGGCATATATTGTAATCATAAAAGACAAAAGCCCAATTTTCTAGTAATGATCACAAACTCACAGCAAGTTCATAAACTAGGGTTAGAAACACAATAAATGTAAAACATAAAAATAAGTCTCTCGTTTCTATAAATAGACCTGAAATCTTTCTGAGCTCCAGGAAAAGAATGCTTCAACTCCATGGGGGAAAAATAGAACTATATGGACAACAAGAACACACATAAATCAAACCATAGGGACACAGCTTTCCATAAAAGCTATAATAAAATGAATAACTTCAAAGCATTTCACATTCCTATTGGAAAATTAATCCTCACCATAATGCTAAATCAATCCAGCTATATGAGTTCCTATTTCAGTAGAAGAAGCTGAGGGGGGACATAAAGCAGCCTTTGCATATCTCTATTATAGCTCATGCAAATATGTAAAACAACCACTGATGGCCTTTATCTATAGGACAGGACATACAACTCACTAAATACAACCTTATCAGCATTTAATCTCAATGCACAGAGATTCTAGAGAGATTCAAAACACTGAAGAATCTCTTGACAAACTCCCAGCTTCTCACCTAATTATCTGACTACCAAACTTCTAAGAGCATCCCACAATTAGTACTAAGCTCACTCCTACTGTAATGCAGTGGTTCTCAACCTTTCTAATGCTGCAACCCTTGAATACAGTTCCTCACGTTGTGGTGACCCACAACCATAAAATTATTTTTCGTTGCTACTTCATAACTGTAATTTTGCTACAGTGTAATGGAAAGCCAGAGAGGAGAGAATAGAAGGGCCAAAAGATTCAGGTTGTTAACAAATACTACCTAAGCAGAGGACTATCACCACCAAGAGGTTCCTGACTTGAAATGAGGAAATGTGTAATAAACATATACATAAACATTTATATTTTAATTTTTATATACTGTATATTTTAAAATTTTAAGATTCCCCACTCAAAACAGTATCCAGGTAAGGGTGGAAATTAAAAGTAAGCATTCATCTCCTTGTACTACATGCTTCACCACATTAATAGGACACCAGCTTTACAGAGGCAATTGGTCAGATCAGACTTTGCCCCAAGTACAGATGCAAAATCCTAAGAGGTCAAATACATAAAGAACTCCAGTTTGCATCCTAAGGAAAGAATAGGAAGGAGCATTCAGAGTGGCGGTAGTTCACCAGTCAGGCAGGATCCCAAATGGCAGAAAGGTACTGAACACCACCAGGATATTCTTGGTTTATTTATTCAGTTAAATGTGCTTTAGATGAATGAATTGAAAGCAGCTTAAAAAAAAAAAAAAAAAAAAAAAAAAAAAAGTAGGGTGGTGCCATAGTCCTCAAATCAGTAAGACAATATACAGCTTATTTCATGATCTGACTTTGACTATTCAAATTTTAGTATTTTGACTGAGTTGTCTTTAACTAAGACACAGGAGAGGAGCTACATACCTTTTGGAAATTGAGATAAAGAACTATAACATCGTGGTATTTTAAAAAGTCACCATAATATGTACATACTAAAATGAATGTAAGCTACATACTTTGGTATAAAAGTGGAACATATCAAATTTAATTACTCTTACTTTGAAAGAATTAGCCTCTAAAACCAACACATAGTCAATAAAATACAAATTTTTATTATTTTTATCTCATTTTTGTAAATAATGTATTTTAAAAGGACTATGGAAAATCAAGCTGGACCTGGGTTTTCCCTTATATTTAAATCAGAGGTGTAAAAGGTTTTGATACATTATAAATTAATTTTCAGTTATATAGTTTTTGTTTTTTTCTTTTTTGCAAATTTAAGTTTTTAAAGAAACTTTTCCTAGAGAACAGGAAAGGCAATTCAGAACTAATTTTTAATAAATATCTTGCATTATGACTGCAAAGCAATGTTTCTGCTTCCTAAGCAACTAGGTTTCAGTCCATATGAGTCAAGAGTGGTTTTCATTCTAATAATTAATTTTACAGTACAAGAGAAATTCAAAGTGAGAGTATGTGGGATATTTGTTTTCTAATCTGTGTAGCAGTGTTTTAAAAACAATTTAAAATCATTTCTAGTAAACAAAGTCAAGGCCATATTAACACTTACTCTGCACAAAATAAAGATATTTCAAGTGGGTCAAAAAGAATACATTTTTTTTAAATCATCACTAAAACTAAAGCATGGGGGAATAGGAAAAAAAATTAAATGGAAAAAATCATTGTACTTTAAGACAATTGACCTGTAAGTAACCACTTATTCCTCTTACCTCAAAGTCATAATGTTTAAATTTAGAAATGCTAAGCCATTAGAAACATGATATAGAAAATGTCTTTAAAGTATTTTAGTGAGACTGCTGCTCCGCTGTGCAGATTTCCTACGGCTTTCTTAACTTCTTTAAGAAAATATTGAAACAATTCACTTATTTTTACCATAGGAATTACACATTTCAAATGCAATCACTTTTCTCTGCATCCAAGAACAATAACTTGTCAAAAGTACCCTTGACCTTGGTTTACAAGTAATCTGACAATATATATTTATACCCTTGCCGATCGTCCCATCCCACATTTTTTCATTAGGAAACAGAGATGCACAGGCAGTTACTGTACATTTTTCCACAGTGATAAGTACTTCAGAATACAGTGGGATAAAATTGGAGCTTGGAGAGCTTGAAGAGCACTCTTAAATTTTAATTAAAACCCTCTAAGCTCACTAAAAATAATTAGACACTAAAATGTGCCAGTTTTATTTTGAAGTCACGATAACGTAGAAGGCACACTCCCTGACAACTGCTTGTGCTCGCCTCTCTTTCTCCCCCTCTGCAGTGAAACAACTGATTTTCCAAATACGAACAAGGGGGTATAAATAGAGGCTGTTTTCAGGCCTGCCCTTCCCACTGGGAAGCTGACGGAAAAGACAGCAGAGTGGGTTTTTCAGACTGCACCAAATGAAATGAGAATAATTTGCCTAACCAAGAGTTCGAATCACTGACAAACCCTCGCTAAAATGCAGTCTTGCAAAGAACAACACGAGTTGTATCACAGTTGATCTTTTCTGATCCAAAAGCCAAACCTTTAACCTCTTAAATGTTTTTGCT